GCCCCATCTGCGCAACTGGAATTTAAAGCTGGTTAGTGTCTTCTGCTAGTAATCAAAGCATTAAAAAAAACTATCTGAACTGATAAATAACAGATTGGAGATTAAAATAATAGCAGATTTGTCTCATTTTAAATGAATAATAAAAACTGAGATAAAAAACTTACTTAAGCCAGAATTTAAATGTTACTATAACATAAATATTCAAACCACGTGTGTTACAACTAACACCCCGTTACTTTGTGCATCGCACTCATCGCAAGTTTATTGTTAAATTGTTAAATGCCCTTACATATCTCTGTCACCATTATAAGTGTTTGATCACCACATTTGAGTGATCATTGCAAAAAATGTGTTTATGTATATATATTCTGTTTATGTATATACTGTATTCTATATATAGTACCAGTCAAATATTTGGACACACGAATGGGAAAGTGTCCAAACTTTTGACTGGTACTGTACTATAATATACACAAAGAATATCGGCCGATATATCGGTATCGGCCTTTTTTTTTACTCCCTAATATCGGTATCGGTCCCAAAAATCCCATATCGGTCGGGCTCTACTCTTAAGTATCTCATTCCAAAATCTACAAAGGCGGCTGCTTTTGGTCTAGTTCAGGCAGACTGTTTCATGTCTCACTTCAATGGGCAGGGTTTACGGATTCATTGTAGTAACATCTGTGGCTGTCAAAACGAAAATAGCAACAAGTATGATCACTACATTTTCACTATATGCTATGCAAATTCAACATCAAAATGAACTCTATTCATATTCTAAAAATCACATTTTTGTTTTTATTGGGAATGATTAATCTATGCATATTGTAGAAAGGGGAACAATGCTATCTTTAATTACACTGAAATAACCTGTTCTTCCTCTGAAATTACTTTCTTTTTAAGGTTTCATTTTTCTTATCAAGATCTAATCAATTCCTCACAAAAAAAGCCATGTAATGCTCTATCTTTTTTTTATTGAATGTACATGTAAACCCATTTACTTTCTTAATTTCATATACTTTAAAGTGAAATAGAAACTGCAACAGCATCAACCATATATAAACACACATTTTTATACAGTGACATATGCGGTTGTTGAACTTTCTTTATCATGCTGAAATGAAGGAAGTAAAATGGGTTGCAAACAAAACTGACTTAAAATATGAAAGCAAAAGAACCTCTTCTATCTTTGAATATGTGACCCTAGACCACAAAACCAGTCTTAAGTAGCATGGATATATTTGTAGCAGTAGCCAACTAAACATTGTATGGGTCAAAATTATCTACTTTTCTTTTATGCCAAAAATCATTAGAATATTAAGTAAAGATCATGTTCCATGAAGATATTTTGTAAATGTCCTACCGTAAATATATCAACACTTAATTTTTGATTAGTAATATGCATTGCTAAGGACTTAATTTGGACAACTTTAAAGGTGATTTTCTCGATATTTTGATTTTTTTGCACCCTCAGATTCTAGGTTTTCAAACAGTTGTATCTCAGCCAAATATAGCCCTACCCTAACAAACCATACATCAGTGGAAAGCTTATTTATTTAAAAAAATTGACCCTTATGACTGGTTTTGTGGTCCAGGGTCACATATGTTCTTTTCAGCAAAACTAAACATGATAAAATCCATTATACACACACTGTATAAGCCATTACAGAAGCATTAAAATTACAGTTGATATTTTGGAGAATACAGTGCCTGCAAAACAGCAAATTACACTGATAAAGACACTGAAATATCAAAACCACAAAAAAAAAATTGTTTACCAAACTACATAACTGCACTTACTTGGCATGTAGCAAAGGGTCAAATGGGGGATGTTGGGCTCCATAAACATGCTGGATACTGTGAAAAAGAATAAGTGATAAGATGGATGTTTATAGGAAAAATCTTTATTTTTAACTCCCCATCATTATTTAGATGATATGAAAACTGGTCTGACAAGTCAAGAAGTAATGAAGCCAAACTACAAAACACAACAGAGTTATTAGATATTTTTAATTTGTCACGTGTGTGTATCCACATTATATATACACTACTTTATGAAGTTTTATAAAATTGCTTTTGTTGCAATCACTACTTAAAACGCACCATAGTACTACTATGGTCTTATTTTAAGTACCATGTAAAAAGCATGGTATGTGAATACAATAATCATGCAGTATAATGGTATATATATATCAAAATACTACAACTAACGTAGTGATACTATCATTGTACCAATCTGCACTTGTCTTTAAGTGTTGTCAAAAGAGGGGCCCAGCAGCCCATAGCTAACAGGCTAACACATGACTTTATGAACTAAACTATTAACACAGAGCTTTGATCGATATAACAGATATTATCACCACATACCCATTCATCAAAGGGCACATGTCAGTGTTAGAAAAATATAATTATGATGATATAAACTTAATACATCTTCACTGACATCAATCTATGCAGGGAGGTGTACAGCTAGCACGCATCACATTAAAAGACCGTTAAAAATAGCCTAAAGAAGATCAGATTTGAGTGACACGTGTTATTCTGAATATTTCGAGCTCCTCCGGTGAGATCTGGCGTTGAAAGATATTGTTCAATTAATTGCATCTATGATTAATAAACACATATAAATACACACACAGAGCTAACACATAGACATTAGCATGAACACGTCACTCACTTCCCAGGAACCTTGGCTGTGTTTCTCTTCCAGAACTGTTTTTTGCTGCCGTCACCTGACATCTTTTGGCTTCAGAGTACTCACTCATAAATTAAAGTGGCGAAATAAGCTGATAAGTTGTGCAGAATGTGCACGAAGAGTTTATTTACACCTCAATTTCTCTTCGCAAACTCAGAGAGCCGCCATGTTGGTGCCGCCCACCGCACATTAGCGCGGCTGTGATTGGTTAAGGGGCCTCATGAGTGACTGCTGAACAGCCAATCACAAGTGGAAGTTTCTCCACGCCTCCTTTAGTTCCCTCACAGGCCTGTTAAAATGCTTGATGTTGTCTGTAAAGGAATGTTTAAACATAAAACACAAGAGGATGTTCACAAAATAAAACAATAAACAACACAGCATTGGAATGATAAAGAAACGTCAAAAGAGTTTTTAATAACAATAATATTACATATTTTCAAAATATTGTTGAGATGCCTTAAAATGTAGCTTATGATCGCAGAATTTGCACTTATGTATGTGAAATGTGGAGAAGTGACAGATTTTTTTAGATAGGCCTACTATTTTTTATCTAGATCAATAAAATCAAAACATCACATCTTTCCACAATAAAGAAAACCGAAAGTACACAAAATCAGTCACACATCTAAAAAAAAAAAAAAAAAAAAACCCCCCCAAAATTTTTT